ATTTCGGAGGTGAATGCCAACAAGTTCCTGCCAAGTCTGGGGGCTCTTTAGAGGCTCCCATGAAGAGAAGGCTTCATGGGACTCTCATCAGTGTGTATAAACACCTTAAGGGAGGGTGGCAAGGGGAGGGGGTCAGATTCTTTTCAGTGGTGGCCAGTGACAGGACAAGAGGCAATGGGCACAAACTGAACCCATGGCAGTTCTGCCTCAACGTGAGGAACAACCTCTCAACCATGGGGGGTGATCGAGAACTGGGGCAGGGTGTCCAGAGATCTTGTGTGGTCTCCTTCTCTGGAGATGTTCAGAACCTGTCTGGACACGACACTGTGCAAGGTGCTGACCCTGCTTGTGCAGGGGTTTAGACTAGATGATCTCCAGAGACCCCTTCCTGCCTCAACCACTTTGTGCTTCTGTGAGGTCTCCAAAATGGCTTCACCACTTTCTAAATAATCGAAACACCTTTTGCTACTTTTTTTTTTTAAACATCTTCTTTTTCTTACTCCCATGTGCTCTCTGGGACAAGGAAGCAGATGTGATTACAGCACTGAAATAGGAACTTGGAGAATTTTCCTGGTTTGTGCACAGGTCTTGAATTAGTTCTGGCAGGGAGTTTTGTTTTCTTTGTCCCTTAGTGTTTTGGGGAGAAGCAGTGCAGAGGGGCTTCCTACCAGGAATGCTGCATTCTTACATACCCAAGGGCTAGAATAGGAACCACAAAATCACACGAGGGAAAAATACTCTCCAAGGCTAAAACCATGAGAAGCATCATCGACATTAGAAACATTTAGGGGCAACTTGGACCATGAGGAGCCATCGGGCTGGCTGCGTCCTTGTCACCGCAGTCTGGGAGACCCCAGGATCTGCCACCTCTCCCCTTGAGGCCAGCAGCTGATCCCAGTCACAGCTCTGCTGGCTGTCTTGAAGAGGAGCCTCCTCAGGAGCCGCGTGTCTGCTGCGTTTATTCCTGTTGTTGCTGCTGCTGGTACCTTCAGAGAGATGCAGGATTTAAAACACTTGTCTACCCAATGAGGCTTGCATTCCAAGCCTCTTCATTGTGGCATTTAAGCACAGTCTGTCAGCACAGATGTTAAGAGTGCACAAGGTGTCAGAAATGCCCTAGGCCCTCATAAATGGCTATTCACAGGCAAACCACATCTTGCGGCACATATCCTGTTCCCTCAGTGCTACCAGTGGAGAGAGAAATGGGAGACAGTACTGCTGGGCCAGGTGTCTGCTCCCTCCCTGCGGCCTGGGATTCCTGCCACCCGGTTGCCTTAAACACCCC